GTTCCCCCCCAAAAGTCATACCAGACCCTTAAGGTCTGGTAGGAATTTTAGGAGGGAACCTATGTAAACAGCATACTGATTGTATTACTTGTGTAATTATGCCTTTTGAGCTGTAGATGGTGCTCTAGTGCAATGTTAGTCTCTATGCTTGTGTATGTTTATCTATGATATATAAAGGAAGTTCTCTGTATGCTTTATAAAGCTGTATTCCGATGTAATGTTCTCCTAAGCAAGTAAAACCTAATTCAGCATTTCTCAAGATCTCAGTGCTTCATCTAAACACATAACCAACAAATTGAACATACCTTGCAAAAGGAAGGGCATATTGCATGTATTGGGGCTGATCAGAGGTCTGAAGTGCATGCATTGGGGCTGAAAAGATTGACTCTCCCACTTTGTCCACCAGTGCTGAAAGTGACGGAGAAAGTCACGTCACCAGAAACGCAATGGCAACCAATTGTATTTCCTCCTCTCAGCAGTCCACATATGGGGACACTGAGGCCTAAAGTGCATGCATTTTGGCTAATCAGAGATCTGAAGTGCATGCATTGGGGCTGATCAGAGATCTGAAGTGCATGCATTGGGGCTGAGAGGGATTGACTCTCTCACTTTGTCCACCGGTGCTGAAAGCAATGGAGAAAGTGATGTCGCCATAAACACAATGGCAACCGGTTGCATTTCCTCCTCTCAGCAGTCCTCATATGGGTACACTGATGCCTTTGCATCATGTTGTGTTAAGTGAGAGGGTCCAATCAGCACCTAGTCATTACCCGCCCACAGGCAATTTCTTACCTTAGTGGGTGGGTCCAAGAGGCGGAGGGCCAGGTTCTGACCCGCCCACAGGCATTGATTCCCCATGTCACCCTCCACAGATCTGCTCTCCAAATCCCACTACATTCCCAAGGAATTGTGGGAGATGTAGTTCACAGGGGTACTTGTTAAAATAAAAATACTTTTTTTCTTTTTTGCGGGGGGGGGGGCATTTAGTAGGGAGGGGTAAAATTATGTGCCATGTGTTATTGCTGTCTGTCACATTAGGAGTATTGATCACAAATAGGGACAGTATAGCGCTAACATTTGACTTACGAATAAACATTGGAAGGCACATAGTGTAATCATTTTCTAGAACGTTGACATTAGGCACGTGTCTGTTTATATAGTATTGTATCTCTTGTGTAGAACCGCCACAACAGTTTATATAATCTGTAATATACATATGTAATTACAGACTTCCATCTGGCTGCCTCCCAACTTGCTGCCCAATAAGGTTCCTCGGAAGGCTGAACCACATACCAAGGATGAAAATATCTCAGGAATACAATTCAGAACCAAGTCAACAAGTGTTTCTGAGGACCCGCAAATCACAAGGAAATGATTCTTTATGAAGAGCAGTTATGGGAAATATGAAGACATGGAAAGGTGACTTTATTTTATTAGAACCAAGGGTAAAGAGACCCTGTCATTACACCATTCAGCTCAAGATTATAAGATTACATGTGCATGTAACTAATTGAATGTATACTGTTTACTTGTAAAAGCCTCCCTTGCTTAGACATCCAACAGTCTACTCCTAAGGCTGCCATCTTGGGTGACATGTCAGCAGCCCCAATTGGCTCACTTAAGTTATACTCTATGGCAGGGGTAGGCAAACTCCAGCACTCCAGCTGTGATGCAACTACAAATCCCATTAGGCAACTACAAATTCCATTAATGATTGTCTGTGCTGGCCCAGCTTATCTGCCTTTCCCCTCACCTTCCTACATTTCCTTTTTTTTTGGAGCTTTTGCGATAGAAACTACGGGAAATACCATATAGCAGGGGTAGGCAAACTCAGGCCCTCCAGCTGTGATGCATCTACAAATCCTATTAGGCATAGCGAGACTCTGACTGCCACAGGCATGGCATGACCCAATTGGTAATTGCCTCCGGGAGCCATGACTGTGGCTGTCAGACTCTTGCTATGCCTAACAGGATTAGCACCACAGTTGGAGGGCCTGAGTTGGCTTACCCTTGCTATATGGTATTCCCCTTTGTTCCTCCCCTGGCAGCTACCAAAAAAAGTCATGTAGAAAGGTAAGGGGAAGTAGAAAGGAGTTGGGCTAGCACAGACAATAATTAGACACTCCCTGAAGAGGGGAGGGCTATGACATGTGAGGGAGGGGACTGTTTTAAGGAATTGACTCTTCTTAAAGTAGTCCAATTTTCTAGTGAATTCAAAGGCACATTGCAAGGAAATATATTATTACATATATTATTATATA